ATGTTGATATCGGCATCTCTTCTTAGTCTCATATTCCCACAGAGCTAATTTGATTATCCTTAATAATCGACTAAATAAATGCTTTTCATCTAATTTATTTCTAAATGTAATGATCGTCCAATAATAAGCTCCCTCCTCACAAATAATTAAATTTTTGCAGATATTTCGGATCATTTTTCAAAGCTCTGTGTACTTTGGATTTTTCTTGAGACCTTCATCTGTCACGTGATTATGCTACACTTAATGGGTTCCTGTTTGGACACCTATCTGCGTGTCTCTGCATCTAGCCGTTTGGAAAGCTCCAAAACTTTAGGTTACCAAACATCCCACAGCCTTAGAACTTCAACGCTTCGTCGGCCCAACCCTGCTCCTGCACCTTTGCAACTACGATTAGCAGTGCCCTGGTTAGTTGGTCTCCTTCAGAGCTTAGCATCAGTTCTCTTTTGCCGATGGCCAGCACCCGCTGCCCAACTGGAAGCTGGTCGTCTCTGCATATCAGCAAATGTTAACTTTTTGATTCTTCGCGCAGCTGTTGCCTATGGCCTGCCACTGGCAGCTAGCCTCGTGTTGATTCTGGTAGCTGCCGGTCAAATAGGCCGCCGGCACTGGCCAAGTGGGTACATGGTCACCCATGGCTTTGAAGAAGCTTGCTTATCTACTCGATGTGAAGCGATCTGCTTGCAGAATCAGAAACTTGAAGCCAATTCTAACCCACAAGTTCGGCCTGGCTTTTACCTCGCCTCATTTTTTCGAAAAAAGCAAGTAAGCAAAGCTTATCGGAGAAATACTTTCGACAGAAAGAAAAATCCGAAGGGCATAAACAAAATCAAAGCTGATGAAGTGGATGCTGTGGCTGTCAGGCTAGCCTCTGGAGTTTCTTGGATAAATGGGGAGTCGGGACTACTACCACATGCCAGTGTGTCAAGCCAAATCCCTGATATGCAAGCTGGCAGTACGTCTATTTCGGAGTTTGGTCTCTCAGGATACGGTTTATTGCGTGACAGAAACATGGTTGGTGCTTAATAAACTTAGTTTTAATTTAATTTAGTTCAACCTAAAATCTAGTAATATTATATTTATTCAAGCGAAGTAAGACAAATTTTGAAACAAAACCCAAATGTTTATATTGATTTCATTACTAAAATAATCATAGCCTATAATTTATCTAACAAAAATGCGCTATCCACATGCAAGTAAAATTTATTAGAACAAAATATCAATAAATAAAAGGTTGTCGGTCTCTTTTAAAAGCACTAAAATTCTAACTATGTTGTCTAGCCAGGCAAAGTGAACACTTTTATTATCTACCTTCTGGGCCATCAGTGCGTGTATGAACTCCCTAATGATCAT